ACAACTAAAAATTAAATTTTGTATTGCAAATTATTTAAGATTTTACAAAAGGCATGCAAAATAAGTAAACAAACAAAAGACTAATACCAATATCATTAACATTTAATTCTTTTTTCTACTTTAAAATAAAAAAAAATTATAAAACTTACGACGCTCACGATTATTTAATCAAAGAAGGCACATAAATAAATAATACTGTTAATTGAACTCACTTTTCACAACTAAAGAGGCACAATGCAAAATAATATACCACGAAATTTATCACTTTTTACAGTTATAGAGGCAGAACTCAAAATAAAACTCTTTATGTGTAATAAAAGTAATCAGCTGTTCTTGAGCACATTAACGCAACTAAAAATAATTCTCTTTAGTTGATCGTGCAAAAGCAACACACTTGACATAAAAATAGACATAACTGTATTTTTCCAGTTAAAGAAGATAGTTATGTGAACGAAATTTTTGCAGTAGTTAGAGATGTGTACTCTGAATTAATTTATGCAAAAAACTCAGTTTTGGAAAATTTTGAGTTGTGACCCTTTTGTATTTAGGGTGCGATATCATTAAATCGTTAATAGTACCCGTTAGAGATGAGTTGAGGACTAATTGATCTCCAATTATTCCCATAAGGGATGAGTCGAAACCAATTGACCTCCATTAGTACCCGTATGAGACTAGTTGCGACTAATTAATGCTCAATTGTACCCGATTGAGAGTAATCTCGGAATACTCTCTTTAGAGATTAGTCGCACAATTTTTTCCAGGGAGTTATCACTTCTGCTCATATACACTCCTCGTAATTTGAATTGCACTTTCAATTCTTAGTATTTACAATTTTCCGTTTGTTTATTTAATATAAATTTTTTGTAAAAATATCGTCACTACATACGAATAAAGGCGCGCTGGTTCGTGTCTAGTGACGAAATAGCATATTCTACGGGTAAATGCAATTTTAAAATTTTTTACAAACTAAAACTTTAAAGAAAGTTTATTTTCCATTTCTTGGGCAGCATTTTATATGATTTTTTCGTTTTTCTCGAGAGCTGGAAACAGTTCTTAAAAAAGGTCAACATAGGAGTGTGCCATCCTAATGACCTGCAGTGAATAAGTTAATAATATTTTTAGAATAATTTCTGATATGCAGTTTTGTAGCCCATTCAATTATAGTGTAATTAAGTGCAAGTTTGAAGTGACTCTAAAACAGCCCCGATTTTTCAAATTCATTTATTTTTATTGACAGTGCTGCGCATTTGATTCCATATAAAAGTTTTGTCGAGCATACTTTGTATGAGAGAAAATGCGCAGCACTATCACCAAAAAAATTGTCAAAAATCATCGCTATTTTACAGACACTCGAAACTTGCACTTTATTGTACCCCTTTGTTGACATTTTTTTAACTCTGTATAAAGTTTTAAAATCGGATGTAATGAATATTAAATAAACAAAATTAAAAGTGTAAATACTAAAGATTAAAAAGTTGAGCTATTCAAATGACGAGGAGTGTATGTGGCGTACGTTTGGGAGAGTGAGCCTTTTTACTCCAGAACGCGTGTGCAGTGGCTCTCATTGCTATACGTGTATTAGTAAGATTTGTTGCCCCCTTCCCGTTTGCCCATACGGGCAAAAAAGCCCATACGGGCAAAAAAGCCCATACGGGCAAAAAAGCCCATACGGGCAAAAGTGCCCATGTCTGGTCTAATGCATATGCCCAGCTTCACGAAAAAACTCCACTAGAAGCATTAGGGGTATTCTCTGAGTCTTGCAAATCCCTTGCGCGGTGCATAGTTTGCACGGATTGCACGGTCAAAACCGGTTTTCATATGGGACAGCTTTGTAAACCGTACAATCCGTGCACCGTGCAAGGGCTTTGCAAGACTCAGAGAATACCCCTATTGTAATTTTATTGATGTAAAAATTCTATACTTTCAACCTCGGGGTCTGGGCATCTGGAAAGGTGGTGGGAAAAAATATTTTTCGTCGAATTGCTATAAAATCGTAAAAAATATATATATTTTTGGGATGAGAATATTTGCCTTCAGCAATCTAAAAAGTAAAATTATGACGCATATTTTACTTTAAAATTTTGAATTTTAACAAACAAAAGAAAAATAGTCAAAACTGCGTTTACGTATTTAGGCTGCTTAGCAGGTTTTTACATATCTAAGTTTTTATCGATTTTGTTTTAATAACTTTTTCTCGCAGATCCGTACCAGTTAATAAATGCTGCATCCCATCGATTGGTTGCACAGGGCTCAGGACAGATCCAATTGTGGCAATTTCTGCTTGAACTGCTCGCTGATTCGTCTAATGCACGTTGTATAATATGGGAGGGCACCAATGGCGAGTTCAAGCTTATAGACCCCGATGAAGTTGCTAAGCGCTGGGGAGAACGAAAGGCAAAACCAAATATGAACTACGACAAACTTAGCAGAGCTTTAAGGTAAGTAAGAGTAAGTGAGAAAATGTCAGCACTAGTACTTGCATTGTAATGCGCACACTCTTAAAAACACCAAATTAAAACAAAACAATGTGATACGTATGTGTGCAAGTACATTTGTATGTAGATACATGCATGTGCATGATATGTATAAAGTTCTGAACACATTGAAAACGACGAGCTACAGACCACAGCTTCCAATTTGTTATCTTCATTATCTAAACGCTTTGTCGATGGCGACATGATTTCTTTGAACGCGGCAGCGACATCATGAATTTGTATGAGTTTGACATAAAAGAAGAGGAAGAACCTTCTCTGTCGCCAGAAAAATAGAAATAGATCTAATCTGGCCACAACCACAGCCGTCGCGTAGCCCGGTCGTCGCCAAAATAATTATCTACATAAGAGTACGTGTTAAAATAATTTGACAACTGTGGTTTGTAGCTCGTCGTTTTCATTGTGTTCGGGCTATAAGACTGTAGAGTGGAACCGCACACATATGTACATACATACATATGTATGCAAATGCATACTATACCCTGCAAAAAATGGGACTAATCCGGGATGACTCCGGGAGCAATCGCAAAGGAGCATGCGACTAATACCATTTTTGATCTCTTTATATGGAATGAACAGATCGCTTTTGTTCGAGCATGTCCTATGAAGAGACTAATTGTTCACCTTTATACCCGAAAGGGTATAAAAAGCGACTAGTCACTTTTAAAAAATAAAAATAAAAATTTGCGCCAGCTGATATTCGAACCGGGGTGCTCAGTTTTGTTAGGCGAATACTCTCTCTGTGTGCCATCGCCGCACATGAAATTTCATTTACTAAGTGCGTACATATCATTAAATCGTTAATAGTACCCGTTAGAGAAGAGTCGGGGCTAATTGATCTCCAATTATAACCGTAAGGGATGAGTCGAGACTAATTGATCTCCATTAGTACCCTTATGAGACTAGTTGCGACTAATTAATGCCCAATTGTACCCGATTGAGAGTAATCTCGGAATACTCTCTTTAGAGATTAGTTGCACAAGTTTTTGCGGGGTATGTACAGGGTGGGTCAAATAAGACCTACAAATGTCACACACGCATATCTTCTTTATTTTTTAATAATATTGCTATTTTCTTGTGCATGTATAGTTAATCTCTTGGAAAATCATAATGGATACTTACAGCAAGACCACCAACAACGAATACAACCAAATTTCCCGAAATCTTAACGAATATCCCATTTCTGTAACTATATTTTAACGAATCTTCAAAGAAAATTATATGAAGTGGTTGACACGAACTCGTAAAGAAATTTCTGTACGAAAAATAAAGTATATTCTGAAAAAAATTCTGAAAGAAATTCTTCACACAGCAACATTCTTTTCATTTCTTTACCGATTTTCCCCCGAAAGTTCGTAAAAGAATCGAAGTGTGCATAGTTTATTTCATTTTAGAAAATTCGGCAAAAAATCGGATGAGTTCTTTACGAATTCTTTAAAATTTTTCCACAATTCAGAATACTTCGAGAAAATGGTTTGTAGGGCAATTAGCCACACACATTTATTTTTTAGATAATGTTTTGATGTCGGATGATGCGCATTTCCAAGCAAAACTGTGAAATGTTGGGCTCCGAAAATCCAAGGGAAACACACCAGCACCAATTACACCCATTCAGACGCACTGTTTGGAACGGTGTTATGGACGAAAGAGTTATCGGCCCATATTTCTTCGAGAATGAGGATGAAACGATTTCTGGGGCTTCTTACAGAACAATGATGGACAGCTTTTTGCGGCCAACGGCAGAGAAGCATCCTAATTTGTGGTTCCAACATGATGGAGCGACTGCGCAGACTGCTATGCAAACTATGGACCTATGAACTATGGATGGTAGGTCTTATTTGGCCGACCCTGTACATCAGACCCCACAAAAATCCCTACTACTCCATGCACGAATATAAGGAGTACTCCCTAAGGGCCAAGGAGTACTCCAAAATTAACCGAAATGCATATACATTAAGTTAAATTGGTAGATAATGGAAAAGGAGGCGTGGCACCGCTCGTACAAATTGAATCTCATGTCGCTTATGCTTAGGCTAACGTACTGAAATTTGCCACAGAAACATGTTATTTTGAAAAAGGGGCGTGGCACCGCCCGTACAAATTAAAATTCTCATATGGCTTATCTCTGGAATTACTAGATAGATAGATAGATAGATAGTTGGTTGGGTAATGCACTGCGACCGCTGGGTCTATTGTGCGACTAGCTCATCACAACTCCTCAGCCAGCCCCAGAGTGTCTAAAACAATGATGGGCGAAACGCTACTCGCGAGTAGCGTCTGCGTCGCAGCGCTTATACGTATACAGAAACGACGCAGCGAATTTCAATTCAGTCTGCTTTCAGTTTTCATGAGAGTGACACCACGCTTCGCCGTTGAATATTTTTATTCGTAATTTTAGCGCGTTGTTGCCACCTATATATGTAACAATGCCCAAAATGGCTGCGTATGAGTGCCAATTACAGTTTTTGGTTTTAAGAAAAGCCAATAACGGCCAATGCTTGTTATGTGGTAATACGACTACTTGGAATCGTACTTTTAATATAAGGCGACATTATTTGTCATGGTAAAAAAGTCAAACTGCCGAACTGTGTAAACCAATTTAAAGTTTTTTGTAATGGGTTTTATGTATATATGTATGTACGATACGGCAATTTAATATATTTAGTATACTTTATTGAATACTGAGTTTTTTACACAGTTTAGATATTTTAAATTCGTGAATTTTGTTGTTGAATAAACTATCATTTTTTAAAACATTAGTTTAATGAAATTAAATTAAAAAACTTTTCATGCACGTACATATGTACTTATAAAAATTAATTTCATAATTCATTATTTTAAATAATTAATTTTTCCTTATTTTTTTATTATATTTTATTATTTTCGTTTCATGTTCATAATACAAATTATATATAAATTTGTAAGAGCGTTTTCTAACACGCGTAAAAAACGACGCACTTTTGTACAATATAGAAAAGTGGCAACTGTTACTCAGCGCGATTCACGAATACCATGACAAAATGAGACTGTATTGGTGCGCCCATCTATGGTCTAAAAACTTCATAATGGACCCCGGCGACAGTGAGTGTATGTGCTCCTCTCTTGGCCAGACGTACCCTATGCTCCTGAGCCTCCTGCGCGCCACGGCCTCACACTCTACAAGGAGGCGTAGGGGAGTTTCCCTGGCGGCATCGCAGAAGCGGCACAGGTCGCTGGACCAGATACCTAGTTTATACATGTGCCCTCTTAGCCTACAGTGGCCGGTAAAAAATCCTGTAATTACCCTCAGCTTGTCCTTTGGAAAATTCATGAGTAGCCTGTATCTTGTCAGATTGTAACCTCCTAATAAGCTTTTCGCCTGACGTTGACCCATGGTGTCACGCCATTGCAGTTCCCTCAGTTTTCTAGTGTTCCTTCTGAGCATATCCTTTATGGTACTTGGTCCCACTGCCAGAAAGGGCTCACTAAGGCTAACGTCCTGAAATTTGACACAGCAACATATGTTATCAATACCGTACTTACGGCAACCCCCCTAAATTTCAAAGTCATTAGGTTCGTTCGCGTAGCTGTTAATTGTTCATGTTTAAACAAAACTTACAAGTTTTTGCGTTCGCGTACGCAAAAAACTTGCAAAGTAGGGGAAATTGAGAGAGCAAAGTGACATTTCATTTTGAGGCGAAGCTGCTGGTTTCTGCTGGAAAAATTTTTGCCAACAGCAATTTGCCAACAGGAAAACAGCTGATCAAAAACAGCTGGTTGGCATTTACGCAAATCACAAAATTGAATTTGATGGTTTGGAAGTTAAAAATTTTGAAAATGCGACTAATTAAACTTGTAAGAAATAAGTAGTTATTTGTTTAATCAATAAACTGTGTCAGTATAATACTTTGTGATAACTTTTCGTACGTTTTAAATTTTACACTTTTGAATGTAAACAAAAATTATATCAGCTGTTTCTGCAAATATATAAACAAATTCCAAAATTTTCATCCTTACACATTCATGTTTCTGGCAAGCGGGGAACGATATGTACTTGCCGATTTGTTTTACAAAAATTATTTAAAAAGCAGACGTCTCGGTTGCTCAGCAAACCGGTTAATCGTTTCTGCAATTATTGCACATTGATTGTCTAAAACAAATATTTGACGTATTCTTAAAATGCATAAACCTAAAGCCAAATTTTATAGGAAATTAAACTAACAATTTATTAAAACTAGTAGTAACCCCCGACATACGGGTGCGTACTTAGCTCTAAATTTATTTAAAGATCTTCATGAAAGACAACAATTAATCTTGTATTGCTAGACACCTGATAACCCAGGATAATTTTTAAGTTCTTAAAAGACATTACTCTTCTCTAAGCTTCGTACAGTGGGCCATGAGAAAACCGTCATCTTTAAGGTATAGTCCAACCTTTCGCAATATCTGGTCTGGTCTTAATCTGAAACGCAATTATCATTGAAATTGGCGCCGTTTATGGTGAAAACCATTTAATATCACCCTTTCAAACTAAAGCTTTCTTAACCCTAGAAGCATAATCTATTTGGGAGTAACGTAAAGCCCTAATATACGCCGTAGAGGCTTATGTACTTAAAAGATAACCCCTGAGCTAAAATATACTTAGTCCTGTCTTATTTTTTTAAAGAATATTGAAGTTGTGAGTTTGACTAATAATAAAACATAGTTTTATTAATAAAAACTATAACCACATTTATTTAAAACAACACATAAAAAGTAAATTTTGTGTCAAAATAAAAAAGGACCCATTCTGTATACGCCTCCCAGACGTAGATTATACTTTTAGGGTTAACCCTTTGAGTACAAAAATTCAACCACTGATTCTAAAAAATTTTAGATATGTATACCGGCTAATTTTGGATCGTTAATTTTAAAAATCACATACAAAAATGTGTAATGCATTGAGGTTCGCGGTCATTCAGGGTCCTTTTTAATGGTCAGTGATATCCTAGGTGTTTAAAAATGAAAGGGATCTCATCTATTTTTATTTTTTGCTTTCGTGAAATATATTTAAAAACTACGAATTATACCTAATAACTTTTCCGAATCTCAATTCCACGGAAATATGGTTAATATTTTTCAATTTTTCAACTGCAGCTTGCACTTTAGTTTGATATATAGCTCAATTCTGTGGCTGCTACAGATCGGCCTAAGTCGTATGACTGAGCAATTATATATAGATACTAAAGGCCTGAACTACAAAACATAGCGACATGTAACACATCATGCAAGTGCCAGTTTATATCATGTCGCTTATACATGTTTGAAAGTGATATATGAATACATTGCCGAATAAATTCAAATCAATTCATGCATCAAATTTATGCATGTCAACAAAAGGAACACATGCAACATATTCAGCATTATTATTTACATTGTATATATGGGAAGAGATTTTCCGAATTTTGCAAGCTCCTACTATAGTAAAATTTATTAAACAATTATCTAATTAAAAACCAGTGTTGCCAACTTTTGATTTTTAAAAAGCACCAAAAACTTGAAAAAAAGGCGTTTAACCAAACTAAAAGCACCAAATTTTTTTTAATCAAAGGATGTTTTTTCATAACAGTTTGTATTTCACAAAAGCAAAAAATTAACAGTATTTACAAGAATACATACATAAATCAATACACAAAACGTTTTCGCTCATAACGATCGAATAGCCTCTACACATGCTATGATGACTCATGCTTACGACGTAATACCGAAATACTTTTGAAACTACTATCACCCCTATTCTGCAACTCTTTCGGAATTTGCTACGAATCGTAGAAATAGTATGTTGCAATCCGAATCGTATTTTCGAACTTTCGAAATTCGAAACAATGCACAGTGGCCAATTTTTGGAAAACCCTGGCCAAAAGTCCAAAAAAAAAATGGTGCATTCGTATGCATAACCATCTTCGTTTCGTTATAGACAACAAGTCGATTCTCTTAAGGCATTTAGTGTTACAGAAGATCGAAGTGGCTGTTGCTAGCAATTCGCTCTAAATTTTCGTAAATTAGAGTTTGCGTCGTTGTTAAAATCGTGGTACTATCTTTAAAAAAAATAACAGTTTTCAAGCATCCGCTCATGGACGTTGTAATCTAGAGTATGTAAAACATGTTTTTTCATTGTCACCCCATCTAAAAACTGACGTAAGACATAGATATTCACGGATTGATTTTTTTTTGTTTACTC